TTCACTCAAGCATTAAAAAAAAAAAAACTGCAGTAAAACAAGGCGACGACGCGAACCACGCGATCACAGGCAGTACGACCACGCGGCAATCCGAGCGGGAAGGAGCACGCCTGTTACCCGCAGCGCCCCCTGGCGTCCTTGCGCTCCGTCATCGCTGCGCCGACCTCCTCCCTCCGTTGCTTCTCGGCGCGGACGACACACTGCCCAGTCAGTGTTGCCAACCGTAGGGTAATTACCCTACTTGTAGGGTATTTTAGGCATTTTTGGTACATTGTAGGGTTGTAGGGCCGTCCGGCCTTTTCCCTGCCAAAAGTAGGGTATTTTCAGACGTTGCTTCTTCAACGGCAAGCGTAATACAAAAACGTAAAAAAAAGCTGATGTACAAGCTTTGCATAACTTTTAAACCCGTGTGCTGCCACACCACGACATCATGCAAAACGAAAGTATCCAAGTTACAAGACGTGCTAACAGAGTGCACCATACGCCATGTCCCTCGATGTTTTTTTCTGGAGAGTTTTGGAAAGCTGGAGCAAGTGGGAGGGGAGTTGGGAGGAGGTGGAGTTGCGCATATGGAGTTTGGAGCCAGAAGAGGGTATCTTCCCAGTTTAAATGTTCCCGCCAATTTTTTTCTGATGACTCTGGTCCATCCGGTAGCCCTTGTTACACCTGCGAAACGCGTGGCACCGCGGGCGGAACCAGGCCGAGCCCGCCAGAACCGGCAGCCACCGGTTCAACTGGACTTTTAAACGCGCTGGCGTAAGGTGCGCATGCTGCAAATAACCATAGCGGGAACTACCACTCGTACTGCGCGCTTTTTTTGTTATGGCGCATTGCAATTAACTCTCCTTACCACGCCCATAGAGCGCTGATCACGGATGATCGACGAGTACGGAAATCGATTTCAAAGCTCCCGCGGAGCTTCCCGGCACGTTGTGCAGTCGGTAGGCAGTTTGAAGACTGTCTACCGACTGCGCAAGTAGTTGGGACTGGAGGCGTTACCTTGAGTGAACGACGTTTTAGCGAACAGAGTCGAAACCATCACGTTTCATCGAATGATACTTTAACGAACATGGAAGAGCCGCCGGTTTCCTATCCTCCCCCGGAGTATTAGCCTAGTTTGTCGAAATATTACCTTAGTTTGACGAATCCCTAGGCGGTTCACCCAAAGAATAAGCTAATATACCGTTCGGACTAGCTTCATTTTGTAATGAGCCGCCTTGTCTGTCGCCGCGAGTGCTGGTCCCACGTAGCCCAGTTTTTAATTTTATGACTAATCAACTAAACATGTTGGTTGAGGATGTCTGTGCGCTCGAAGGAACACTGTTGTGCTGATGCTACACAGCGCGCATGCAAGCATGGTGTTCTAGAATAACCCAGGTATGCGCGTGCATGCGTGCTTTGTCGCTTTGTACGGTATTAATACAACCCTATATCAGCATAATCCATGAAACAGCATTATTTGAACAAAGATTTGCCTCGTAGGGTAAAACGTAGGGCAATAAGAAATATTCGTAGGGTAACGTAGGGTTTTCTGGACGCTGGCGTGGGGTATTTTCAAAAAATAGGTTGGCAACACTGTGCCCCCAAGACAAGACGTCGAGCGCCATGTTGCTTCTGCCTTGAAGCGGTACGGCGGACGTAGCAGCCGAAGGTGAGTGTTTGATTTTTTTTTATCAAGTTTGTATAGAATGTAGCACGTCTCAGATTTTTATTACATGTCATTCAAGAACGTTAGATTTGCTTTGAGCAAGCCGGCTCAGGCGTTAAGCCCGATTCACACAACCGGCGTTTAGCCACCCCGTCGATTGGAAACGACTCGACTGCTCGCCGGTTCTTTTGCGCGAGCTTTCGCTCGGGCGCTGGGAACCCTATGAACTGTGGTGCTTAAAGCTAGCACAATTAGGCACGGCTAGCGTCCCGGTGGAAGCTGCAGAGAGCGGAAACCGAAGACACCGTCGCATAAGAGTGGCGAAGCCGCGATCCTGCGCTGATCGTTGTCCCGCCGCTCTCTCCGGCAATATCGACACTTCGCTGCTGGGTGTCTCGTATTTCGACGTTTTAGAGAAACTTGGCATTGGCAAGCGCGAGGAGTCTCTATATCGTTTTCTCCGTCGCCTGCGTGGAGGAAACACGGTGGCGATAGAAACATATGCTCATGCAGTCGGTCAACTTAGACAATCCCCCTGTTCCCTCAATCCTATCGCATTCTTTGACTGCGTTTGTGACAACAACGTTTCCCCAGTGTGAAAGCTTTCAGTCACAACGGGCTACAAACTGGGTTGTGCATTGCATGTAGCCCTGAGGGAATTCTTCGCCGGAGACACCAGCACATTAGTTTCATTGGTAAGGTGACCGGCCACTAACGTGTTTGGCAAATGAAGCGATCACGGGTAAGTAGAAATGCAAACAATGTTGAATGAATATTAAGGTGGTTGTAGCCAGAGCCTGCCAGTTGAAATCAACCTTTAACAATATAGTCTGCGGTAACTTCTTTTTGCACTTAGGATTGCAATTTTAAACACAAAGCCACTCCACATAGCTGTCGAAAATCGTGTAAACAACAGCAGTCATCGTCCCCGGTTCGGATGAGCGAAGCCTTAGCTTGATGAAAAGAATGGCGGTCTATAATTCTTGGTTGTTTCAATCACAACCTCGCACAGCTGAACAGACAAACAAATCAAGGAAATATATCCCGCGCTGGCTTGCAAATCACAGCACACAAGCAGGGTACGTAGCAGAGCAGAAAACACTGGCAATGAGCACACGGAGGCATGCAGCTTCCTTTCTTTTTCCCTCGGCGAATGATTGGTTTGCTGCAGCATTCCGTAAGCATGTCGACATTCAAAAGTTGAGCCTGATCTGTCTTGCAGTGCCTTGCGGAACGGCAAGTATCGCCCACCATTCCACAAGGCACTGCAGGACTCGCAAATGTGTGAACAGTGCTTTGCAATAAAGGCCATGATCGGGCAGCAGGTGCCCATCTAAAGACATTTAATATTGATTGGCATTGAACTAACCTTTGGGCTTCATCACGTAGCAAGCATGGGTGAGGTATAATTCAAGAACATTTAATGTTAATACGTTGTGGTGCTTTCCCATATGTTTCGGTGTCACGGAGTGGGGTTCAAATTAATAAAAATAATTCAATGATCCACTCTGAGAATAAACGAGAAATTACGGGAAAAGAACAAGAGAGCTAAGTTCGACCATTGACTAGCGCTAGGTCCACGCCTGGTGTACAATCAGTAGAGAAAGATGATGACACAGGGAGGATAAGCAAACAAAAGATTAGATTTAATAAAGTGAAAAACTAAGCTGTACACGGCAATAGAGCACTCAACACAAACCACACTCCAGCTCAAAGCTATGGAGCCCTGCGAGCCAGAAACTAATACTAAAAAGACTCGACGCTCATAAAACCGGAATGAGCCAACAAAACAGTGACGAAAACCCGACACTAACAACGAGAGCAAACCGAGATGGAGCTCGAACGTTACCGCTACACACATGGGATAATCCCCCAAAACAGTCGCGACAGAAAGTAGCACTGTGTAAAAATCTTCCCAGCATTCAACAATTCGTACTTCAGAGCCAGAGAATGCAGTAGACAAGTCCTAGAAAACCAGGCTTAGCTTTCTGGTAGGTGCCGAGTCCAGAGCAGTCCGTAGTCTGGAGTTGTCGGCCGAAGAACGGCGTCTCGAAGTCCAGCGGTCCAATTAGAGGCTTGATGAGGTCGACACCGCGCACCACACAGCCACACACGCTTCAGCACAACAAACTCAAACACTTGTCCGACAGGCAGGGCAGAAGCCAAAAATTACACGTTCCATGACTCATCTGCAGGGAGTAACCGCGTTGAGTAGCGACCCGGCCAGCTCTGGGGTTGGACTACCTTCTTTGTTCCCGAACCCCCTTTTATAGGCTCGTCTACCGACCAACCTCCCGTTTCCCCGCCTTTCGGGTCAGTCAACTTTCAAGAAAAACAAAGCTACACAGCAACGACCCAAATGGCAAAACCTATTACATTTTTCAGACAACCAAACATATGTGCCCATCCATTCCCCCGTACGAGTCCAAAAACATCAATTATCGCCGATATATAGAACACGACAGGCGGCAGACTGAGCAAAGCCGCCGCCTTCAAAAAGCGTGCTAGCCAGCGTAAACATCTTTGTATCCCGGCGGCGCCCCTGCATGTCAAATCGGCACCATACGCGAGCCAGCATACGCACCCCTCCATCCGCGAGGTCAAAGCCACAAACTGTGACCTGGGATGATCTACGTCGCCCGTTAACAAAAACCCATTCCGCAAACGAGCAAATTCGTTGGGGACTTAGAAAGGAACTACGACGGGACGAACTGAGATTAAAAGTGGCACCACACTCCCCCTTTTTGACCGTACCAAAACTTAAAGTGGTCCAAAAAAAAGATCATAAAAGTATTTAAAAAAATGAAGAGAAGCCTGAATTTGTGACACCCGGTTTCTCCATCCTGTGTTTTTTTTTGTGCTTTTTCTATTACGAAGCGAGACATTATTCCAGCCGTAGGCACCAGATGTAATTCCCGTCTGCAATCATAAGATTATAGGATCCTAACTGCCGGCAGCTAAGTGTCAATTACATCCGGCTTGTGCATACAGTGCAACATCTTTTGCTATTCAGCCGATCATCACTTTACAGCCTGGGTATCTGTTCTTGTAAACGACAGTAGTGCTACATGTTAAACGGCTCTAAAGCGATAGAGCAAACTTCGCATCTCATTATCTTTTAGCTGAATAAACTGTTTGTTTGGTTATGCTTGTTATCCAATTTTTGTTTTAAATTTAATTTTCTCATATAAACACCTTACATTTTAGAAAAAAATCTTTTTATAGTACGGAGGTGTCCATATTAAGAAGACATGACTGTATCATCTTTGAAACTAGTTTGCCACAGCCAGTGTTATAATATGTATTGATTTTTTATGCAGTGCCTGCCTTTCCTTGCCCCTTGTGAGGACGACTGAGAAAGCGACTTTGCGCCACAACGACGGATGGCAAGTGTCCCAAGTGTTGTCACCTATAGTGGTCATGTGCTATGTGTTCGCAGCATTGTAAGCCGACCGTGGAGCACTTTCAAAAGGGAACTTTCGCCATGTGCACAGTATGGCCGTGTACAATACGGGGCACGTACAGTCAGAAGAATTATGAGAGGGAACATGCGGGCGCGTGTCACTTGGTACAGGCAGAGCAGCCTAGCAAGTGTCATGCTTGTGCACTGAGGGGCCCTGGTTTGAAGAGCCGAGGCAGAAGTTTCAGCGGCGGTGTCACCGCCCTGGCGGCTTGTCGCCGAAGCAGAAACGGGGTTAGCTAGCTTTGCTCGTGGCTGGCTTTGTGTAGTGTGTGTAAACCGGGAACGTAGGCTTATGAACTTCGGCAACAAGAATACTACACGGCTTTGGTGTTTTGGTACGAGCAACAAACGTGACACTATCTGCTACGACTAGCTACGACCACCCACCGCAGCGGTGAAGGCATCGAAGAAGCAGAACCTGTGTATTACGCCGTTGCCGTAACCCAACAGTGCTCATTTGTCATGGAGGGCTTCCCGCCCAGAGACTTTGCTCGTCACTGAGTGTTATTTCCCGTGTTTCTCTTTGTGTGCTCAGTGGCTGGACGGGCCTCATACAGCAGTTCTTCAGGCTCAAAGGTGACTAAAAGTTGAGGGTGGATGGACTTGCAGCAATCCCCTCGGTTGGTGCGTGTGACAGAACCTTTGTACGGCATCATCGGGAGGATGCTGTTGTGAGTTAGCAAGTTGTCCAATTGTATGTTCATTATGCTAATATTTGAAAAAGCTTGTTTAAAAGGATGCTGGACCAAAATTTGGATTTCATAAAATAAGGTCGCGGAAGCTTTGAATGGGAGCTCTACAAACTCCGAAACATCACTCATACATTAATATCGCAAACGGATGGCCGTATTCTTGGAAAGGAAAGGGCACAATCAAACAAGAAATGTGACATCATACTTCTGGTACACTTTAGAATGAGGGGAAGCGGCCTCGCTTCTTTCATTCCCGCTTCGGTTCACCTGCTTAAAGGCCGGCCCGCAAGCAGAGAGAAGGAACCCGACCCTCACTTTCCTTCTCGCCACTGTGAAAGGACGAAATAGCCTCTCGTTTCCTCCTCGCCGTTTTCCGTTTTTTTTTTTCTTTTTTTGCTAACTGCTTGTTTGTTTTTTTTTGTTTTTTTACAAGTTTGGGGTGGAGGAAATGAAAGCTTCGAGGATTTGAAAAGATTATCCAGAAGCCAGCCGGCACACCTGCGACAAGGAGCTGAACCAACCGAGTAACTGTTTTGAGCGAGCTTGGCACTTGCTCTTCCCAACGAGTTGCATTGGCTCTTTTTTAGCATTGGTTTGGAAGACGATTCTTTGCTGTTGTGAGAGCACAAATACCTCGTTCTGCTCAAAGAAGTAGTCATTAAAGTATCAATTTTAATATAAATATCTGATCTGGCATATTTCGTTGTCGGATTCATGGTGACAACGGGAAGTATGAGCGGCGTTTTCTGTATATCAGGGATGGCACTCCATAGACCAGTGGTTCTGAATCATTATGGTTCGTAAACCGCCAGAGGTGACGGAGGACCCCATCCGTAGTGGGTCTAGCAGTTTTCGGCGTGGAGCGTTTTGCTGTAGGGCATTTCGGTGCGGACGTTTCGGTGCACGGACGTTTCGGTGCACGGACGTTTCAGTGTACGGACTTTTTGCTGCAAAGACTTTTTGGTGTGGGACTTTTCGGTGCGCGGATATTTCGGTGCACGGACATTTTGATACATGGACATTCGACGCTATGGTTTGCTCTCCGGTATCTCTTTTCCAACGTACGCAGACACGCTTCACATTGTGTTTGCGCGTTGAGTTGATAGAGATAGTCTCCTCTATAAGGTTTTTGCTTTATTATTGGTCATACGTGTAGGAAAGGACCCAAACAGCAAGACGTTTGAGGCTGTTTGTGTATTCAGAACAATTTTGAATATCTTCAAATGCGCCGCCTCCGCGTAATCGCACAGCTTCGATTGTTAATAATAAATTGTGATAACCTCGCACGACAAAAAAAACAATGTAATTATCACTTGTAACTCATTAGGGAATAAAGGAGGCGTGTGCGGGTACAAGATAAGTGTAATAAAATCAAATATCGATTTGAATCAAGTAAAACAAGTGGAATTTGGTGAATGCTAAATCTATTTTATTTGGTATCAAATGTTTGCTCATTCTCGTACGAAAAAAACAAAACAAAAAAAAAAACAGTGACCATGCACAGAGCATACACAGCGTATGATCTGTGGTCAATGTCTCCTTCCATGCCGTAATGATGTCGCCGGACGTAAAGAACTGCCTTATGTCGCCGGACGTAAAGAACTGCCTTACAATCCTGCTTATTCAGGGCGATCTTTTTTTTTTAACGACTAGACATTTTTCTACAAAAGACGTTCGAGTTACGCAATTTCGGTTTGTGCCTTATCTGTAGTCATCAAAAACACCAAATCATTCATTTTTAAAGAGATGTAGTGCACGTGAAATGGTTCACGGCGTCCTAAAGAGCCTAATTTGGACGCGAATCGTGTTACCGCAATCTTTTCGGCCGCCGCACTCCTCGCCCCTTCTACAGTGGCGTTGTCTCAGCGATGCGCATGATTTGCCGTTTTGGCTTCATGGCGTTAGGCTGTGCCACGCGGAGATGGAGCCCACATAAAATCAGAACTATATTTTCGCGCCCAAATTAGGACGACGCCCTATCAAGACGCCGTATAACAGTGTACGCGCTTTACATCTTTTTAAGGATGGACGGTTTGGTGGCTCGCGATTACGGCCAACAACTTTCTAAATACACGATGTCGTTTTTTTTTTCTAACTAAAAGGTTAATTAGCGAATTTTAGGCAATCGATCGGTTTTAGTTGCGTTCTTTATTGAACCTAATCCTCGCCTGGCCGTATAGCTCACCTACACAAATCGCAATGGCGCTAATTTTCACTGGACAATTTGGTGGCTTTCGATAATGCCCAACAACTTTATGAATCAACTATCCCGTTTTCTTTTATATTCAAAAAGTTAATTAACAAATGTTAGGTAACCAGTCGGTTTTTGTTGCGTTCTTTCTTGAACCCAATCTTCACCTGGCCGTGTAGCTCACATCCACAAAACGTTAATTTGCATGTTTTTTTCTAATATCTTGTAGGTGAAAAAAAAAGAAAGAAAATCAACGCTGTATATAAAACAGAGGGCAGTTCTTTTCTGATATAAATAAAGCGTGAAGCACGTGCCTTGCATGCATCTCTCTTTTTTTTCCCGGCCTCTAAAAACAAATTTCTGGACATTCGAAATTGAGTTTATGATGGGGCGGGCGCTTTATCACAAGGTATTTTGTCATGTTTCATAAGCTTTGTTACAGGTCAGAAGGAAGCCACGGCAGTCGTATCACGTTGCAAACAGCTAATTGGGGTGTTTCTCAAGGAGCTCTAGGACTTTCCAATTAGCATTTCGGTTCTTAATACATTTAAAAAAGTTTGGTACTTAGTCCTAAACATTTAATTTATGAGGCATAATTAAAAATACTGCAACTCTCGCAAGACGTCTGCCCAAAACATAAAGTTCGTTTCATTGGCGTAAAGTGGCTGCGCTCTAATTTCGCGTTACAGAGATTTGCAAGCGTCTTTCATTTTTATGCTTGGTTTTTAAAGATTCGTGAAAAGCATTCTCGAACTTATCTGTCAAGCCGCGTACGCGGACAGCGCGGCCTCCTCGGCAAGTTGTTCGAAGACGACAATGAATAAAAGGTACGATCAAAGTCTTAATTCCTGAAGAAAGCGCAAGTTTAAAATAATTCTAGGAGCGTCAGTTGATTTTATTTCTACTATATTCAAATTTCAACACTCGTCGCAGGCAGCATGAAAAAAAGCACTGCACTCTTGGCGCAAACCAGTGCCCAGCCAACGGTCCTACACTCAAACACGCATCACAACCCGACCTGTTTGAAAAATAAATAATTTCCAGTACCTTGGTACAAAAGGCGACTTTTCTACTGAGCGTGATATTTTGTGGACCCAAAAGTCCTGTAGCCGAGATTTGGTAGTTCATAGCTTCAGGGAGACGAAGAATGACGGATGCATTATTTCCCGCGGAAGTACTGTTTTGACGTTGAATTCCACATAAAATTGTATTTGCACCCATTGGGTGGCACGATACCGATCATGCTTGATTACTTTTCTTTTAGAGACAACATAACAGGCATAATCTACAGATATTGCAGAATTTATTTTAATTCGCGTACAGCGCGAAAGACAAGTATGGACTAAAGACTACAATAGAGCTCTGCATTTTGTACTGCATTTATTTCTGTACTTGTGGACAGTTAGTCCGCATGACTATATTCAAAAATTGCAAAATCGTTTAAACCTACCCCTTTTTATAGTTTATTTTTTTAGATGAATTGTAGCGAATCCCGTCTGGGGTTCGGGTAAAGATCTCGCACGTGTTCAAGGACGCATTTCGGCATGATTTCCCGCTTGGTGACAACGTTGAGCTGGCCGCTGTTCCGCTTCTTTTCTAACTAGGACGGGCAACGCCAGACGCCTAAATTAGCCAAGCAGCCCCAAAACTTGCGGTAGTACACTTTCCGAACACCTGGTTTTTTTTTGGAGATGGTCGCTGGCCTTCGCCCACCCTGACAGAGCCCCGAACAATTATGATGCAAGGGCTGCAGAGGCTATCTGCGCATTCCATTTCTTAATCAGCGAACAAATCGGAACAGAAGAGAATGAAAACTTCGTAATACCTCCTGTCTTTTAATAAATGGCATAATATGCTACTATTGCTAGTTGCACTATTTTACGTGAAGAAAATTGTGATATTGCGGTTCAATCTCCGTGTTTCCCGTTCTCTTTGCTGATACGCAAGATATTGGTCGGCTGTCGGGTTTTCAGTTACATTTGTTGACAGAAACTAAATGCACCTTTGGCCACGAAGAAATTTTTTTCAAAGGTAGGAAAT